AACAAAATTTTTTTAAAAACCCCAAAACTTTTTTTTTTTTTTTTTTTTTTTTTTTTTCTGGTACCAGGGATGGAACTCAGGACCCTGTACTTGCAAAGCAGGCACTGGAACCACTGAGCTAAATCCCAGACCCTCAACAAAACTTTCTTTACCTGGCATGTTGGTGCATACCTATAATTCCAGGGAAAAAAGATTGTACACTAATCATCAAAGATAAGACAAAGGAAAAAAACTCTAGTAATTGCATATGTTCCAGAAAAAAGCACATTTAAAAATGAAGATTTGGCTGGGTGTGGTGGCACACGCCTTTAATCCCAGGAGGCTGAGGTAAGAGGATCGAAATGAGTTTGAGGCTAGCCTGGGTTACATAGTGAGTTCAAGGCAAGACTGAACTACATAATGAAAGCCTGTCTCAAAAAATAAACAGTACCACCAGAAACCCCTACAGGCTGATCCTGGGGTTTACATGAATAGATCGATGGAATTAAATAGATATGTAACCAGATCTACTCATGTACTGTATATGAAGGAAATAAAGTACACAATAAATATAGCTTTGATGAATGAAGGAAATACAGATTATAGTACCTAGTGGTACTAACCATATGGCTAATTTTGTTTTTCAAATGCTGAGTAGCCTTGTACATGCTAAGCATGTAATTTACCACTCAGCTATATCGCCAAACCCAAAATAATTTCTAATTTTGTTCTTTTGCATTGCTGGGAATTAAACCTAGGACCTCATTCATTCTAGGCAAGCACTGTCCTAAGACTGTGCTGCTGTACATCAGTCCTTACATTGTATTTCTGTGTGAGACTAACACGGTCAAATGAGAAACTATAAAATCATTTGCAACTCACACACCATAAAAGGATAAATTCCTTCCTTTAAAAGAGATCTAATACCAATCCAGATAATAAAAATAACCTGAGAAAAAAATGAAATGATGTATAGTCAAGAAAGGAAAGATGCTTTTCACTTACAAAAAACTCTCAATAGGAAAACTAAAAATTAGAATCACAATTTATTCCTCTTAGGAAAACATGAAAGTGTGTATCAGTATTGTTCCTTGGGGGATGAAGTTATGATTGTTGTAAAGTTACTAGTGGTAGTGTAAATGAATGAGAGAGCCTTCAGAGAGACCAGTTTAGGGGAAAACTGAATAATAGTTGGAGGCTCAGGAGAGAAATTGATGTTTAAATTAGGGAGAGGAACTCGCCCTTTAGATTATGCTCCTTCCCCCAAATCCTGTATCTCTGAATTTGGAAATAAAATAAGATGTGTCTAGCTTATTATACACCCCAATACTTACTTAGGATGTGCAGAGTAAATAAGGACTAAAAATGGAAGCAGTTTTAATTGAATCATAGGTTAAAAGAGACCTATAAATCATGTATAGTCTCATGTGGGTTTTTTTCTTCCCCTGTCTTGGCTTTGCTGTCTTAGGAACTGGCCCTTTTCTAAAGAGAAGCCCAGAGGAAAGACTGCTCATCTCTTCCAAATCTCAGAACCATGGCTCAGGTGAGATGATGGCTGTACTCATTTCTGCAAGTTATTTTGGTTTGTGTTTTTCTTTATTTTGGTGTTTTGAGACAGAGTCTCACTGTGTAGTCCAGGCTGGCTTGAACTCACATTTTAGCCTAGGCTTCCCTCAAACTTTTAATGAACCTCCTGCCTTGGCCTATTGAATACAGGTATTACAGGCTTGCACCACCATGCCCAGTTGCTTATTTTTGTTTTTGTTTTTTTAAAGATATTTGGGCATATGGTTTCCTAAATCCTCCTTCCCATCTTCTCCTGCAGAAAATTGGTCCCCATCTCCTTGTTTTTCAATGTTCTTCCAGAAGCTATACTGGGACAAAAATGCATTTCCTTGAATTAATGAGAATATATTACTGAATGAACCTGTCTTGTGTAGATAGAAAAAGACATGAGCTTTTGTCACTTCCAAAGACCTGGGTAAAAAGAGGAACATGAAATGGATAAAGTGCTGTTAAGTAAATGACAAGAAGTCTTGGACGTGATGATGTAAGCCTGTAATACCACCACTCTCAGAGGCTGAGGCAGGAGGATTGGGCAATTTAGTGACTTAGCAAGACCCTGTCTCAAACTGAAAAAATAAAAAGCTGAGGTTGTAGCTCAATACCCAGAACAAAAAAAAAAAAAGGTCCTATCTTGAGGCTTTGAGGTTGGAGATATGATTAGCAGCTTCTACCGAGAATTGAGGATCTGTGTTTGTCCTTTACGATCCTTTAATTTTGCTCAAATTCATAAAAATCTGTGACCTATTAACATCTTTCCTAGTATACTGATGGTGGTAATAGATTTATTTCTATTTTGAAATTTCTTCTAATTTGTATTTAGGTACAGAAAAAGTAAATGTGTACACATAGACTACCATATTAAACTGGGAGTATAACTTGAAATAGTCTGCTTTTGGTTTTAAAGATACTCCTTCCAGTTTCATTAAAAATCACCTTTATGTAGAAAGCTCTTAAATACTGCTATTCTCTAGGTTAGGTATTAATTTTTTTCTTCTTTAGTCTTCTGTTGTCTATTCTCAACCTATCATTTATTTTAACAGTGTTCAAATAATTTTAATTTGTAATAAATTTTATTTAATCCCATTCCGCCCCTCATGCCCCCAAAATTTTAATTTTATACCTCTATACTGAGCGTTTAAAACTATCCAACCTCTGACTATGTATTACCACCTGCATATATGTCCAAGATGAGTTAACTCATTATCCTCTGTCCATCCTATTATTGTATTTTTTTCAAATTACTTGTTTTTATCAAATCTTTACCCACCTGATAATACAGCTAAGAGTTAAATGTCTCTCTTCCACTGCAAAACAGTTTAGTGGCAATTTCTGCTCTGATACTACAATTCCCTCCATCCCATTGGTACTATTTTTAGGCGCCTCTCTCAGTCTTAGCACTTGTCTTCCCATTTTTAAAAAATAAAAATTTTGGCAGTACTAGAAATTGATCTCAGGGCCTTCACACTGAGCTGCATATAGCTTTCCAGTTTAAAAACAGGCTCAAATATGCGGCCTCAGCCTCCTGAAGTGCTGAGATTACGTGTGTGTCCTTACACCCAGCCTGGTCTTCTCATATAAAATATTGAACATCTTTGCTGCTTTTTCAGTTCACCAAATGCTCACGCTGGTGCTTGTTTACACATCTTTGTATTCCTTGTGCTTTTTGAAATTTTATATTGTGGTTAAATACATAAAACAAAATTTATATTTTAATCATTGTTAAACGTATGTTTGGTTAATAAGTACATTTACAATGTTATATAACTATCACCATTATTTCCAGAACCTATTTTTATGATCCCAAACAGGAAACTCTGTATCAATAACATTAAAAAATAACTTCCCATATTATGCTATCACCTAAAACACTGTAAAGGACTCCGGTAAGGCAGAGGAAAATACTAAAATACTTTTTAAGCCAGGCGTGATGGCGTGGGATTGCCATGAGCTCAAGGTCAGCCTGGACTATGTAGCAAGACCTTGTCTCAAAAAAAAACAAAAATAAATATTAAATAAAATGCTGATTAACAATTTAAATTCAAGACAGTAGTCATTAGTGATTATATAACTTTCCAGCTCAATAATATAGTACACATCTTTACTTTAGATATCTTCAAATTCTCTCAGCATGGCTAGTGACTTAGCTCAGTGATAGACTGTTTGCCTCATCTGCACAAGTCCCTGGGTTCAATCCCTAGCACCAAAAAAATTACAAAATTAAAAGAGAGAGGAGAAAAGTTCTCTGAGTATATTTTGTTTTCATTGTATCAGTCATAAACACGAATGTTTGTGTTTATTAAACCTTGGAACTTTAAAAAATGTTATAGTAAATTGTATTTTATTTAATTTCCATTTTTTGCTAGTATATAAAAATAGTTATATTGACCTGCCTGTGACCTTCCTGAACTCTGTTATTGTAGTAATTCTTTTCTGTCTTGCCTTGCTTACTTCATTGTCCAGAACCTTCAGTTCAACCTTCTGTTGAATAGAAATTGTGAGCACAGATATTCTTGTCTCTTGCCTGACATAGACCACAATCCCAAACCATTGCAGGGATCAGTATCATTCAAAGATGTGACTGTGGACTTTAGTTGGGAGGAATGGCAGCACCTAGATTCTGCTCAGAAGACTCTGTACGTGGATGTGATGTTGGAAAACTATTGCCACCTCATCTCTGTGGGTAAGGAAAACTCTGAAACTTCCTCTTAGTGCCTAAAGTATGTTTAATCTTGAATTTCAAGGATAAAAGATGATAAATAGCTTTTGGTTAGCAGAAAAATGACTGTGTTTACTTGCCTAGTACAATGTGCTAAGTTTAATGTAGCAAATATGAGAATCTTATTTGTCATTATGCCATGGGCAGAGCCTGACTGTAGCCCTTCACCTAATCCCTACTGTGTTTCTCCTCCCTACTCCCTCTCTCCTCATAGATTGGAGACACAAAGGGACACACTGTTTGACTCCTATTTTAGGCCCTGGATAGCTCCTGGGAGACAGTTACATTGTATACTTCCTTGTTCTTTTCCTGTGCATGCCCCAATCACAACAATCACACTGGTTTCCACCTAGGCCATTTAGCACTATTTGCCCCTCCTTCTCTTCCTGTTTGCCTTCTACTGTAAAGAGCCCATGGTGCTCCAGGCAGCCATTAACTCCCAACAAGCTATGGTTCCACCTGGTCCCAACTTTCAAGCATAATTGTGGTATGTATCCTTCTTTCTTGGTTTCTTTATCTTTTCTTCATCTCCCACTGGCTCTCTCTGGCTTCAGACCCCATGCTGTGGGTTGCGGTAGCAGTTCTGAACATACATACACCTTACTCATCTTTATTGTTTTTATTTTTATTAGTACATCATGATTTCATTAATCATGGGAATTGGTACATGTACATAATATATCTTAATTCTTTAACTTCCCCTTCTCCTCCCCATCCTCCCTCTCTCTTAATCAACTTTTAAATATATTGAAGCTCAACCAATTTTAAGTCTTCTTTTCCCTTGTCAGGGTGTGATATGACCAAACCTGATGTGATCCTCAAATTGGAACGAGGAGAAGAGCCATGGATATCATTTGCAAATCGTGCCTGCTTAAGTGAGTTTTTGACTTTCAGATAGGTGAAAATTAGTGGAAGGTAAATCTTAAAAGAATCAAGTAGTGGGTAGTACATTTGAAATGTTTTAGTAATATTTTTAAGAGGCCAGCAATTTAGGTCAGCCTGGGGAATTTAGCAAGGTTCCTTTCTTTTTGAAAAACAACAGGGAGTTTGGCGCACGCCTGTAATCCCAGCACTCAGAGGCTGAGGCAGGAGGATTGCTGTGAGTTCGAGACCAGCCTGGGCTACACATAGTGAGTTCCAGTTCAGTCTCAAATACATAGTGAGACCCTGTCTCAAAATACCAAAAAGACCCCAAAAAAACAAAGCAGAAAAAACCAACAGGGAGCAACTTTTTCTGTCAAATAAAAATGAGAAATGCAGGGAAAAAAAAAAAACCCAAAAAAAAACAGGGCCAGGGATTTAGCTCAGTGATTCCACTGCCTGCCTCACAAACACAAGGTCCCAAGTTCAATCCCCAGTACCAAAATAATAATAATCAAATAAAAATAACAACAATAAAAAATCAGACTTTTCGCCAGGTGTGGTAGCACACGCCTATAATACCAGCACTTGGGAGGCTGAGAAAGGAGGATCACTTTGAGTTCAAGGCCACCCTGGGCTACATAGTGAGTTCCAGGTTAGTCTCAACTACATAGTGAGACCCTGTCTCAAAAAAGCAACAAAAAACAGACTTCTAAATACTCTCTTTAAATTGATTCGTAGTTTGCTTTGTGTTACCAAAGATATTCCCTTTTTTTCAGATCTCTTTTTGATTTATATCCTTTTTCTAGCATTCTCAGTCCATTGTGATTTCTATAAGGGATTCTTTACATCTGTGCTTTTTTTTTTCTTTTATTGAGTTTATTGGTACATTTTATGTATACAGTACAGTTACATTCATTATTGGGATCTTGTACCTTTACATGACAGGTGGTCTTGGTTCTCATTTTTTTCCCCTTGTCCCTGCCCTCCACCCCCTCCTCCCCTCCCCCTTTACAAACACTTTATTTCCATTTTTTTCATCTTCTTGTATTTTTTCCCTTATTACTTTTCCCCTACCCTTCCCACTTTCCCTATACCTTTAGCCCTTTTCTTCCCATTTCACAATGTCAGTTATCTCATTAGGATCTTATGTACTATTACAGTTTATTCACACCAGGGAAACTATTCAGTATTTATACATGTGTGACTTGTTTATTTCACTTAGGAATATATCCTCAATATGTATCCATTTTCCTATGAATGAGTCTAATTTCTCATTCTTTATAGTTGAGTAGTATTCCATTTTATAGAAAAAACTCATCTTTATCCAATCTCCAACTGATGGGCAAATGGGCTGTTTCCAAGTTTTAGCTATTACAAACTGTGCCACTATAAATATGGGTGTGCATATATCACTCTGGTATGATTCTTTTAATTCTTTTGTAAAGATAACCCAGAAGAGGGATGGCTGGGTCACATGGAACCTCTAGTCCCAACTCTTTGAGGTATCTCCATATTGATTTCCATAGTGGTTGCACCACTCTGCACTCCCACCAACAATAGAGAAGGGTTCCTTTCTCCCCACAACCCTGCCAACATTTGTTATTGTTTGATTTCTTGATAGCACCCATTCTTTGTGGGGTGAGATGGAATCTCAGTGTTGTTTTCATTTGCATCTCTAGAATTACCAGTGATGTCGAACATTTTTTCATGTATTTACTTGCTGCTTTTACTTCTTTGTCTGAGAAATGTCTGTTCATTTCAGATGCCCATTTTTGAATTGGGTCTTTATACTGGGGGTGCTGATTGTTTTGAGTTCTTTATATATTCTAGATAATAGTCCTTTGAGGAGCAGCTGGTAAAAATTTTTTCCCACATTGTAGGTTGTCTCTTAGTTCTGTTGATGGTTTCCTTTGCAGTGCAGAAGCTTTTTAATAAGATGAGATCCCAGTTGTTGATTCTTTCTGCTAGTTCCCGTGCCACTGAGGATTTGTTCATAAAGTCTTTTCCTATGCCACTGTCTTTAAAAGCTCTGCCTAACTTATCTTCCAGCAAGTTTAGAGTTTCTGTTTTAATATTTAGATCTTTAATCCACTTGAATTTTAATTTAGTGCATGATGAAAGATAAGGGTCTAGTTTTAATCTTTGGCAGGTTGAGATCCAGTTTTTCCAACCCCATTTATTAAAGAAGCCATCCTTCCTCCATTGGGGATGGCCAGCTCCTTTGTCAAAGATGAGATAGCTGAGTACATCTGGAGTTGTTTTTGTGTCTTCCAATCTGTTCCACTGATCTTCAGGTCTGTTTCTTTGCCAGTACCATGCTGGTTTTTGGTTTTTTTTGTACGGGGGATTGAACTAGGATCCTTGCGCTTGTAAGGCAGGCCACCAAACCGCTGAGCTAAATCCCTGGCCACCATGCTGTTTTTAATCACAGTGGCTTTGTAGTATAGTTTCAAATTGGGAATTGTTATACCCGCTGCCATGTGTCTGTTGCCTAGGATGGCTTTTGCTATTCTAGGTGTCTTATGGTTCCAAATGAATTTTTGGCTTCTTTTTTCTAGTTCTGTGAAATATAGTGTTGGAATTTCAATTGGCATTGCATTGAATCCGTATATCAGTTTTGGTAGTATGGCCATTTTCACTATGTTGATTCTTCCTACCCAGGAGCAGGGGATATCTTTCCATTTTCTTATATCCTCTTTGATCTCTTTTTTTCAGAGTGCTGTAGTTTTCAGTGTAGAGTTCCTTTACTCCTTTTGTTAGATTGATTCCTAGATACTTCATTTTTTTGGATGCTATTGTGAAAGGAATTGTTTCCCTAATTTCTCTCTCAGTGACTCTGTTATTTTTGTACAAGAAGGCTGTTGATTTTTGGGTGTTGACCTTGTATCCAGCTACTCTGCTAAAAGTGTCAATTAAGTCTAGAAATCTTTGGTAGAGTTTTTTGGGCCTTCAATGTAGAGTACATATCGTCAGCAAATAATGACAGTTTAATGCCCCGGCCAGCGGGGTTCGTTATTAGTAGGGCTCGAGGAGGGGAACACCGGATCGGGAACGGGAACGACGCAGGAAGACAAGAACCAAACAGAGCTCTTTTAGTGGTCAAATTTGACAATTTTTATTTCTCACACAGCAGCTTTTATGCAGGCAGGGATGAGCAGGGACTTTCCCGGTTGCTAGGTTACCTAACCTAGGCTGGTCTAGCTAGATAAGGTAGGGCATGGCCAGAATGTCGCTGGGAGGGGTTAGGATGTCCCCGGGAGGGTGTAAAGTTCCTATCAGGGGCACACACACACACAAGGTGGAGGGGCACACATGGAGGGTGGACGCGCACATAGGTCTTGGTCTCCAACAGTTTAACTTCTTCCTTTCTTATTTTTATTGCTTTAATTTCTTTCCCTTGTCTAATTGCTGTAGCTAATGTTTCCAGAACTATATTGAAGAGGAGTGGTCATAGTGGGCATCCTTGTCTTGTTCCTGATTTTAACCTGAAGGTTTTCAGTTTTTGGCCATTTAATATGATGTTGGCTGTTGGTTTTTCATAGATAGTCTTTATTAAGTTGAGATATAGTCCATCTATTCCAATTTTTTGCAGGGTTTTTATCATGAATGGGTGTTGAATTTTATCAAATGCTTTTTCTTCATCTATCGAGAGGATCATATGGTTTTTGTCCTTGACTCTGTTAATATAGTGTATTACATTTATTGACTTATGTACGTTGAACCATCCTTGATCTCTGGAAAAAATCCGACTTGGTCAGGATGTATGATCTTCTTGATGATCCTTTGTATTCTGTTTGCTAGTATCTTATTAAGGATTTTTGCATCTATATTCATTAAGGAGATTGCCCTATAGTTCTCTTTTTTAGTTGCGTCTTTCCCTGGTTTGGGAATCAAAGTGATAGTTGCTTCCAGGAATGAATTTGGAAGTATTGTATCCCTTTCAATTTCCTTGAAAAGTCTGAAGAGTAATGGCAGTAGATCTTCTCTAAATGTCTTGTAAAATTCAGCAGTGAATCCATCAGGACCTGGGCTTTACTTTGTTGGTAAGTTTTTAATTACATATTCAATTTCACTGATTGTAATTGAGGTGTTTAAAATGTTTTACCTTCTTTGTTCAACTTTGGTAATTCATAAGTATCTAGAAATCTGTCCATTTCTTTTGTGTTTTCCATTTTGTTAGAGTACAGGTTCTCAAAGTAGGTATTGACTATCCTCTGGATTTCTGTTGGATCTGTTTTGACTTCATCTTTTTCATTCCTAATTGCATGCATCTGAACCTTTCCTTTTTTGATAAAGTTAGCTAAGGGTTTATTCATTCTTTCGATTTTATCTATTCTTTAAAAAAACCAACTCTTTGATTCATTTATTTTTTGTATTGTTTTCTTAGTTTCCATTGCATTGATTTCTGCTCTAATCGTTATAATTTCCTCTCTTGTTCGAGCTTTGGGTTTTTCTTGCTCTTGTTTTTCTAGGAGTCTAAGATTCATCATTAGGTTGTTTATTTGAGCTTGCTCTGTTTTCCTAGTGTGGGCATTCAGTGCTATGAATTTTCCACGTAGAACTGCTTTCATTGTGTCCCACAGATTCTTGTATGTTGTACTGGCATTTTCATTTCTTTGTAAAAACTGTCTTATGCACCAAATATTAATGCCCCAACTATATAAAAGAAATATTAAGAAACATGAAAAACCAAATAAGCACTAATACAATTACGGTGGAGGATCTAAATACCCCACTTTCACAAATAGACAGATCATCTAGGCAAAAAATCAACAACAAATATCAGAACTGAACCAAGCTTTTGAATGCATGGACTTAATAGATGTCTATTGAGTGTTCCACCCCACAAAATCAGAATATACATTCTTTTCGGCTGCACATGGGTCATTCTCCAAGATAGATCACATACTAGCTCACAGAACAGGTTTGAATCAATGCAAAAGAATCAAAGTTATTCCCTGTATATTATCAGATCATAGTGCAATCAAGCTGGACATCAATAGCACAAAAA